GGTAGTTTGGTAACCCTACTCAATGTGTCACCAGGCCACTGTGCACGTGCATTGTACTGGGTATTGTCAGGATTGAGCAATTAGTACGTATTTAGTAATTGGATTTCACAATTGCCAATGGTTGCATTCATAAAGGTGTTTTAATTATTGTTAAACCAGAAATCCGTGAATCTTTATTCATAACGATTTTACAGTGGTTGTTAAGTTGGATTCAAAATTTGATCTTGATACCAGCTCTTTTTCATACTAAAACTGATACTAATACCATATAGTCAATGCTAATACTAAATTTATACTGGGCCTAGATGCCAGTTGTCATTTAGATATCAATTAATGAGACAATACAAATTATTGCTATTTTGGTGTACAACTAAATATAATTGCATTGCAGAAAAGTTATTCGTTTCCACGCAAAGTACGGCGTAAACGTAAAAACTATTCAAAAATTTACTTCATTGGTAACTATGTTTGATTGGATCGTCTCAAACAAGGGTTAAAACTTTGTAAAATAACCGCACTTTAAAGGGGTTCATGTGTCAGCAAACAAATTTGACCAACTTTAAAACTGCTACGAGCATTGTATTGAATTGAAATAATTTGTAATCCTATTGTACCGAATTACTTTATCCAATGGCGATATTAACCAATTCAGTATCCAATGGAATCAGCTTTTTTAACCAAACTGCACCTCTTAAAATCATTACACCTTTGAAAAGTATAAACAATGTCTCCCTGCAAATCTGAGGAGTTAAAACTCATGGAGCTACTTAAGCTGAAGGGTTTACTATTACTGGCCCATTTCTTTCCTAGGACGCTAGGCACGAGCCCGGAATTGTTTTTCACATTACTTCAGGTTAGACCTAGGGGTTACGGCAATATCACTTAGATAAAATCCATTGGTGGTTTGGTGGGGTTTGAACCGAGTCCCGCGCTCAAACCACTAGATCAGCTCGCTCCCCCTATTGAAACAAGCTGCATCGGCGTAAGTTATGAAAGTTTTTTATAATTTCGAAGTAGGCCTATAGGGAGATTTGTTTTGGGTTCTTTGGCCGGAGCCAAAGTTTCTGAACCATACAGTACAACTGGAATAGTTATGGTATGGTATGAATCGATTTTGTTTTCTACTGACACCCTGCAGCTTATTTGATAGTTTTATAGAGACCTACCAATATCAATTTCCCTGCATGAATTGCTAAATATAAGCAAACAAAGAAAAGTAAATACAATAACAATAGCTTGTTTTTAAACATCTGTTATGTTAAAATAATATTCATTTGAAAAAAGAACTTGTCACCTGTGGAAGTAATTTCAAGAAAAAAACAAACTAAAGGTTTTTAGAACAAAACATATAGGGTAATGTAATTAGAACTGCTGGAATACAACTTTAATTGAAGTAAAAAAATTTAAAAATCAAATTTATATTTTTCGTTGAGTATTACATTGGATAAATTAATGATGATGCTTGGTGACAAATATGTGTTTGGGCCATTCTGGATCAAAGTTTTGAATCGCAAAAATAACACTCCCTCGCGAACGACCAGTTGTACCTCGCCCGGTCCGTTCCGTTCCACAGTCTACAGACAGGTCCGGTCCGCCGTTCCCAGCTGGGTTTCCCACTAACCCAAAGCCACAGATCAAGTTCAATGAGCATTGCACAATACTTATGTCACCATTATCCAACCGGCACGCGGTCTGGGGGAAAGTGACGGCACCAGAGTTGCTTTGTGCTTTCTCCGCTACCTCATCCGGCGCAGTTGAGCCGGTGACCTACATCCGGCGCTGAGTCATGCTTGCACCATCCGGCAGACAAGACGGCTGCTGCATCCGTCGGTTGCGAGATGGGTTTTGTCGTGCGAGAATATGAAATTACGTGAATCCGTCTAAAAAAGGTTAGGAGGTGCGTTGTGAAATTTACTGAGATTTGTTATTGTTGTGTTTGTTGTTGTTTGAATGTGTGATTTCTAAATACAGGGTTATTACAAATGATGTTCCTGATTTTGATTATAAATATTACTGGGTTATTTTGTTTCAAGACTATTTTAGTTGGTACCATTGGAAAGAAAAACTCATAAAGTTTTATTTACATTGGTTTGGGTGCATATCAGCTGTTTGTCAAGTCAATTGTTGTAAGTGTTGTGTAATGGCTGAATTTAAAGGCGGGAAAGCTTTTTGCCAGTTGGAATATTACATTAACCAATCTGTTATTAGTGTGCAACGACACTTTAGAACCAGGTTTAACGATGATCCTCCTAGTAACCACTATATTGGCAAGTGACACTTGAAATTTAAGATAAATGGCTGCATTTGAATGTTACTTGTAGTAGGGCTGAACTTAACAAGGTGCTGCCTGAGATATGGAATGATTTCGGTAGTCCGAATAATGACACACCCCTGAACTGGCCTACAAGATCTCCGGACATCACCCCCTGTATTTTTTTCTTGTGGTGATACATCAAAGATAAGGCGTACACACCACCATTATCAGATAGGATACTTGAGATCCAGCAACGGATTACCAATGCTAAATAGACCTAGACACACTTTTCAAAGTCTAGCAAGAGCTTGACTACATTATTGACATCTGTCGTACCACAAGGGGTTCCCGTATCGAGCATTTACAGTTCTGTGTATCTGTATCGAAACTTTTTGAGTTTTTCAACAGTTGTAACCATTTTATTTCTTTGTATAACAAATAAAACTATATTTTATGTATGTATGAAATCATGAACATCATTTGTAATAACCCTGTATATATTTTTTTGCTTTGAATGACACTTTGACTATAGAGCAGCCAATGGTTGTTGATTGGCTAACCATGTTACAAGTGTAGTGGTTAAATGGTGTATAAAAGCTTTGGATATCTTGCAATTGAAATCCTCTGGAATACGTAGTTCCAAATTAAGAGGCTACTAGATGTGTGGAAATTTGATTTAACAAGTGTAATTTTCGATTTTCTATAATATTGATTATACAACAGAGGGCATTAAAGGAATAGGGCGCTAGCTTAATGGTCGAACTCGAACTTTATGGGATTATTGGATTTCTGTTCAAGACGAACTTCTCGCAGCAAAGCAATCCCGGCCATTAAACATGTAAGAGGTTTGGCTGACATTCACTAGAGTTTGTGATTTTAAAGTGCAACTAGTGTGCAACACTTACATACAAAAACTACAAATGCAGTGTAGTGTGGTGTGAACCCTAGTGGAAATTGTCTTTGAAAGAAATAACTTGTGAGAAATAACCTAGAAAAGAACTCAGAGGTGTTTATTTTTTAATTTATTTTCTTTAGCACATGTATAAGACTATCTTTGACGATTATTGTCTGGATTGGATTAGACCGGATTAAACAGTTCTCCTTTTGGTTGTTAAAACTCTTAGATACCCTGCCAACCAGGATCGGAGTTTTTTTTGAGCTCATCAGGACCCAATCCAAAAGCTTAAATCTAATGCAGTTAACACAGGTATAAGTATATTATGAACGTTTAATCACGTTTCCTAATAGAATCTAGGAAACGTCTGGCCAACTGGAATGACGCCATACTACTGGAGTGAGTGACTCATCACAAAATCACATCTTACGTTTCTGGACAGTGACCGTAAAATAATGAAATGTCATGGTGTGATGCAAACATTCGTGGAAGTCGTGTCCGCGTTACCAACACAGATTTGACCAGAAGAAACATATGAGACACTGAGAGTCTGAAGTGAATCCGATGTTTCTTGGTTTTTACATGATCGTTTATAGATACCGTAACGAATCTGCTTATGCATCTGCTGATGATCTGTTTATAAGTCATATTTTTGTATACTTGACTCGTCTTACATCACTCATAAGCTACAAAAAGGGCGTACTAATTGTATGCGATGGTAGGCTGATACAAATTCGATTAGTGTTTTAAAGTCCCCACAATTTAGGTCGGAGAGGTTAACAGTTTAAATTTAAAAAAATTAACATTGGCCTCAAGGGTTGCCATGCTGATGAGGAAATAACAACGAAATATAAGCAGAAAATCCAAACAAGTGGATGAAATTCCAATCACATGTTTTATTTACAGCGTAGGGTGAAAATAAAGAAGTCTGTACATTACATATTTTTGGACGACATAAATAGTCGTATAATAAATATTATATAACAAACAAATTATGTACATAATGAAACACAAAGTTAAAATTAAATTGCAAATATAAAAGTCCTGAAAGTAAAATTGACAGATCAGTAGTGCATGTTGTTTTTTGTACACTACTCTATACTTACAAGCGATACCACTAGCACAAAGTGCATACGCAAACAAAACAACTGACGCCATGAACCGACACTAGGAACTCCGCCGCCATAATATTCCATTATAGTCTGTACATTTATCTAGTTCAGTTATAATATTTGTTTTGTGTAAAAGATTGTATTTGCTATAAATCATAGGTAACATACCCGAATGATTTTATTTTAATTGGTTTTTCCACCAATAATGATTGCGTGCTGGGCTGGCGCCACTATGTTGTGATTTTATTTTTACTATACTCGTTTTCTGCCTACTTTGATATTTCAATGCTTTTTTCAACGTTAAAATTAAACGTACTGTAGTACATTAACGTAACAGAGTAAATAAATATTTTTAGTTCTTATCATGGTATATTTTAGGGTACAATTTAGGCATATCTTTGGTAATATCATTGGCTTTTACAAATTTTGGAGTTATACTCAAAGATGTTTGCACATATCTACGGTTTCTTGTTGTTTATTATCTTTAGTATTTATATTGTTTGCAGTAAAAAGTATAAAATATTTATCGGATTGTTTTTGCTGGATCAAATTATGGTTAGTGTCTACCACCAAACAATCAACACAGGTTGTTGTAGTAGTGTAACAAAGAATTTGTTTTAAAAGAAATCGAATCTTTAGGAATGGTTGATTTTTTGTTCTTCACTCGTTCTTTAATTTAAATAGTCGAAACTTTGGTTTAGTTAGCATTGTCATGACAATACATAAATCCTTTTTACAGCTGAATACATCCACTCCTGTAAGAAGACGGATCCAAAGATCAACGCATGTATCAAGAAAACGTTTGACCACTTGAGGCCGTACCTGGTAGCAGGTAATATCTCCCGATTTATTTCAAACAATCTAGAAAAAAACAAATACAAATTAGTAGTAGTTTGTTAGTCAATTGCAAGTAGATATCAATATACAGGGTTCCTCAGTAAAAATCCAAACTCCGGGAAATTAATGTAAGGATCAGAATAATGAGAAATTAAAGCAGGTTTTTAAAAATCGTTTTGCCAATCAGATACCCAACGTTTTTTACGTAAACAAATTTATCCTCAAAATTTTCAAACCAATCTTTATGAAACTTGGTATGTATTTGTAGTGAGGCAAAATGGGGTGCACCATGAGTAGCTTAGCCTTATTTAACAACTAAATATTTCGATAATTTCAAATATTTTTTATTTTATCGTTTGAACTTGGTGTCGAATGATGGGAAATTTCAATTGCTAAATAAAAATGTCTTGAATTTTTAAAATAAAATCTCCCTTTTTTGTAATCTTAACTAAACAAATAAAATTGACCACTATATTGACATGTTGAATTGGACAAAATTATTTTTTTTTTAAACAGTAAGTAGGTTACCTATACTTTAACATACATATCGATTAAACAGTTATTGCAATGTTTATGCATAAATAAGACTTGGTGGATAAATGATTAACGAAGCGACTTTCCTGATTTCCTGATTCCTCTTTATTTTGACCATTAGAACAATTTCCCGTAATTTGGCTTTTTACTCACGAAACATTCTGTGCATGTATTCTGTATTTTCAACTTGACTTTGATGTACATATATTGCTTGTTGTGACTTTTACTAACTTTTTCATTTTGACTTTTATAAATACCTATCATATAATGAACATTGCAACTGATAAACCGAAGGTTGTTAATTTATTGAATACCTAACAATACCTTTTGTCAATAAATAAAAATACGTTAACAATAAATTTGAATCTTAATTTCAATAGCCAAATACGATTCAATGGCTATAATTAATTTTGCATTGTCGTTTATTTCATACAGTCAGTTGTTCTTTTAGTTTGTTGACAATTCAATCTTGTAATGAATTCATCTCATATACCTTTGTTATATCGTATTATTTTGAAGATCAATAAACATTATTATGTTATCAAGTTTACGACTGGTGAAAGTATGATTGAGGGTTGATTTTTAACTGTGTGATTAATTTTTAAATATAGACTAAATATGTACATATCAATATTTTAAAAGTAAAATAACATACACAATTTAAATACTTTACTGATACTTTCTTTAATACTTTCTTATTACCACTAATGTAATCTATTCATGGGTTAAGTTGACTATACAATATTTAGTTTGTCCACAATTATTCCATCTTGTCCACAGGTTTTTAAGCAATTAAAAGTTAATACATTTTATAACAAATTCTCTTTGGAACTCAGTTATTAAAAATTAAATTTTAACTTTTATTGAGAACACAGCAGTCCTTTTTGTCCCAGCAGCCTTAACTTCTTAGATACCTGCAGCAGTACCTAGGTATGTCGTGCTGCGTATCTATTGTTTAGAAGGCTGTCAGACCTAAACAACGAATCAATGCTGCTTTGGAGTAAACAGCTAAATCTGTAGAGTTACAATTATTCAATATAAGTTTACGACTAATACACACTTTTATTCATTATTATTTAACCGTAAAATTAATTGGTCCCATACTTTGGTAGCATACAGGTTTGCATGAGAGTCACGAAATATTTTATTAACAGCACTAAATATGGACTCAAAAAATTTTTAGTTTCCTTTTTAGACATATATTGTACAATAAAAAAGTAAACTATTATCCCACAATTTTATATATTTTTTGTACAAAAATAATTATTTTAGTACTAAAAAATTAAAAATATATCTCAAATCTTTTTAAAGTCCGTTATCTAGCTTATGTGTTTGCATAGGTATACCGGAGATCAAGCTAGCGTCTATAGAGCCAATGAGCATCCCCAAGATGGAGATGCAGAACGGCCACGGAGCAGTCAGAGTGAGGGCGGTGTTTGGCAATATGACTGTATACGGCGCGAGCAACTACTCTGTCATATCAGTCAAGTGAGTATTACCTAGCCATATCAGTGATATGTGCAATATCAGTAACAGTAGAACGTATATTTGGCCATAATGCAGTCAGGGTGTGGGCGGTATTTGGCAATATGACTGTATACGGGGCGAGCAACTACTCTGTCATATCAGTCAAGTGAGTACCACCTAGCCATATCAGTGATATGTGCAATATCAGTAACAGTAGAACGTATATTTGGCGATAATGAAGTCAGGGTGAAGGCGGTGATTGGCAAAATGACTGTATACGGGGCGAGCAACTACTCTGTCATATCAGTCAAGTGAGTATCGCCTAGCAATATCAGTGATATATGCAATATCAGTAACAGTAGAACGTATATTTGGCGATAATGAAGTCAGGGTGAAGGCGGTGATTGGCAAAATGACTGTATACGGGGCGAGCAACTACTCTGTCATATCAGTCAAGTGAGTACCACCTAGCCATATCAGTGATATGTGCAATATCAGTAACAGTAGAACGTATATTTGGCGATAATGAAGTCAGGGTGAAGGCGGTGATTGGCAAAATGACTGTATACGGGGCGAGCAACTACTCTGTCATATCAGTCAAGTGAGTATCGCCTAGCAATATCAGTGATATATGCAATATCAGTAACAGTAGATAGAATGTTTGGCCATGGAGCAGTCAGGGTGAGGGCGGTGTTTGGCAATATGACTGTATACGGGGCGAGCAACTACTCTGTCATATCAGTCAAGTGAGTACCACCTAGCCATATCAGTGATATGTGCAATATCAGTAACAGTAGAACGTATATTTGGCGATAATGAAGTCAGGGTGAAGGCGGTGATTGGCAAAATGACTGTATACGGGGCGAGCAACTACTCTGTCATATCAGTCAAGTGAGTATCGCCTAGCAATATCAGTGATATATGCAATATCAGTAACAGTAGATAGAATGTTTGGCCACGGAGCAGTCAGGGTGAGGGCAGTGTTTGACAACATGACTGTATACGGGGCAAGCAACTACTCTGTCATATCAGTCAAGTGAGTACGTATCACCTCTAGCCATATCAGTGATATGTGCAATATCAGTAACGCTGTTCAGATTTAACCTAGATATTTTTATTTCTAGTTTATATTTTAGCAATTGGCTGAATGTAGAAACGCAACAAATCAGTTTGGACACCCAAATTACCGTTAGAAAAGGAATTGACAGACAAAATAACAATAAACCCTGCAAGTGTAAGTACAAAGTTACCAAAAGCGTTTATTTATCTGCTTTGAAAATCGAATGTTAAATTATGTGACCAAAATTTGAATGTAATGTATATTCAGAATTTTAAATATCTAAGAGTAGACATCCTGTCTCTTATTCTCACCATACCTGTGCTGTTAAGTTAAAGTGTATTTAAGGGATTTGAGCTGTGCTTAGCCCAAGACCATGTTCTTCATAAGCATGTGTGAATGAATATCTTTGCATTCATTAAAACAAAATAGTACGGTTGTAATGACTGAGACTTTGGAAATGGAAACATAGTAATGTCTGAGATAACGAAATTCTTTGAATACTATTCAGAGAAAGTAAATTGAACTTGAACCCTGGACAAGTAAACATAGACGGCCAGACACGCAGGAAACTAATTCAAAACTTGTCAATGAACTACTACTACTATTGCTATTGTTTAGGTATCCGAAGGTTTATAGTACTCGCCTTAAAATCTTAAAGTGGCTGATTCAATTATGTAGCCAAATGCCACTTGTCACGGGGCTATCGAAAAATATCAACACTAAACAGTACCAAAACTATTTTTCCTACGGAAACGCAAGTTCTTTCGGCACATGAAACATAGGCATAATTAAGTTGTTCTAATTAATTTGTATACGATTGTTTTTACAAGAACTGACTTTAACTCTGGCGTACGTTCCCAACATTAATTGTTTGTTATTCTTGCATATTTTCTGTTTCTATTGTTTACATTTTACCGGTAATGTTGGTTTAATAATTTTTAGTTGGTTATGCTAGAATATTTCACAATAAAAAGTAAACAAGTTTACCCAGAAGATTTGACTTTGTAATTTATGTTATGATGCTAGTTTTTTTAGCTGATTTGGACATTACAAAGCACAAAACTGCGTTTTTTGAAAATCATTTATTTTACAATGACATTCAATTGTTCAATGCACTGCCCGCTCCCCTGAAGATGGAAAATAGTGTGGACAAATTTTGCAAAGGGGTAAAGAGTGTTTTTTTTTGTCACGCTGTTGTTACAGTGTAGAAGACTTTTTAAGAAATCAATGATTTTTTGTTTTTAGTTTTTGTTTATAAGAAATATTGTTTTATTTGTGAGAGAAATTTTGTTGACGCTATTATGCAGTTATAACGACTGTCAAAAATAAAGATATTTGAGTTTGAGTTTCTCTAGATGGATGGTATTAGTTTTTTAGTGGTATACATAGCTTTTGTGTATATAGTGCATTTTTATTACAAAACACAAAAATACTTTTTGAAAATATCCTAATGTCTGCCACAATTTCACTTAAGTAAAACTGTGTTTCTTCACACTTACCAGCAACTGACAGTCTCTAGAGGTTACCCTGTAGGTCCTGAACGACTAACCGTTTTCAAAACAAGGGGTAGCGTTCTAGGATGTAAAGCAAGGAAGAATGTGTTCAACCTCTAATATTTACTCCCTGTTCCAGGAGTGACATCAACAGACTCCGGATGGACCTGGGGCTGAGCATCCCCCGCATAGAAGCCACCGGGACATACGAGGTCGTAGGACAGGTGCTGCTGTTCCCGGTCCGAAGCCGTGGAGAGTTCTGGGCACTGTTTAGTAAGCGAATAGCAAATAAGTAATGTGTATGTTAAATGATCCAGAAGTTGTAGAAGTTTATTATAGTATTGCCTGGTATAGTGTTGTGTGTTAGGCTATAGCCACTAGCTGATATTCCAATCTGTTAAACTCAGAACCCTAAATACAACTCGGATCTTTATTGCCATTTTAATTCAAATCAATATTTGCCAAATAATTTTATTACCTGAGTCCATAAGTAAAACACAAAGCGAAAGAGTTTGAATGTAAGAAACTTGACATAGCTTAGCTTATTTGTTGGTTTTAATACATTTTGAAGATGGGGTATCAATTGAGGTGTGCAGGATAATTGGCAATGAATGGAATATTAGTGGAATTATTTTAATATCTAATTCATACAATCTTTTTTGCTAGTCACGTTAATTAGAATAGTAATAAAATCATTTAGAAGCTTAAATCAAAGTGAAGAACGGATGGTTTTCGTTCTAGACTATATCGTCCCTTGCTTTATAAATTCTAAGAACTTGGACGACCGAATTCAAAATTTAAAGACGCCCCCTACCTCTTAATAAGCCATGGAAATTCCATAATAACTCGAAATTACTACTTAAATGGCACGGTTGTCACAACTTTGGCATGATAACTTTAGGTAATAATGATCCTATCTAATCTTATTATCAGGATTGTCTTATCTCACATATAGATAGGCCTATAGAATCAAAAAAAACTTAAAAAGTTATTAAGTCTCGTCTCACCCTATTTCTTTACTTTTCCAAAAATGTAAATAGTAGTTAAAATTTCAAATACACATAAAGTAGCAGCTGTCTCGTGATGGTCGTGTGTTTCAGACAACATCACCGGTATAGGCAAGCTCTACGGCAAGGAGGTCAGGAGGAATGACGTCAGCTACATGAAGACAGAGAGACTAGGAGTGGACTTCAAACTGGGCAGTTCTAGGTTCAAGATCAAGGACTATCTAAATGGCAACAACGTCCTAGGTAAGATGTGGTTTTGTTGTCGGGTTAGGGTCAATAAAAAGTCTGGAGACCCCCAGTAAATTTTTTAACGGCCCTTACTAGAAAAACTAAATTCGGAAAACCTTTATGGTATGTTATGAAGTACTTTTTGGGCATAACTGCCACTTCGTTTACATCCCCCAAATGGGGGATTTCGGGGGAAACTCAATAATTTAAACGGTAAGACCCATTGAGTGACCCCTCATTTTGAAGGTCCTGATAAAATAAAACCGAAAACGCAAACTAGGGGTCTCTATCTCAACCCAGTAAAATATGGCAGTCAATTGAAATCCTTAGAAGTCTAAATTCTGATTTCTAAGGATTTCAATTGACTGCCATATTTTACAGGGTTAAAATAGCGACGTCTAGCTTGCGTCGCTAGTTTTCTTTTATCACGAACTTTAAAATGAGGGGCGACTTGATGGGGCTCAGCTTTCAAAAATTTTGAATTTCCCCCAAAATTCCCCATTTTGGGTTTGCGAACCAAGTAGCAATTATGGTCAAAGCCATAAAGGTGTGCAGAGTTAAGTTTTTCTAGTGTGAGCCGTTACAAAATTTACAGGGGTTCTCCAGACTTGAGAAGCTGTAAGTTAAATTTCAATTCTGAGACTTTCAATTGACTGCCATTTTTTACTGGGTTGAGATAGAGACCCATAGTTTGCGTTTTTGGGTTTCTTTTATCAGGGCCTTCAAAATGAGAGGTCACTCGATGGGTCTTATAGTTTGAATTCTTTTTAGTGTCCCCCAAAATCCCCCATTTTGGGGATGTACACGAAGTGGCGGTTATGCCCAAAAAGTACTTCATAACATGCCAAAAAGGTGTGCAGAGTTATGTTTTTCTAGTATGGGGTGTTAAGAAATTGACAGGAGGTCTCCAGACGTTTTATTAACCATGTATACAGTTTCCCAGACATCCGGGCATTGCTTCACTACGAAAGTCACTCCAAAACAAACCAGTGAAGCAGTCTCTTTGGGAGCCACAAGAGCCAGTGTTTTCGAAACAATGCATTTTGAGACAGTGTATTTTTAAGCAGTGCCTTCTAAATATACTGGTTTGGAGCTAGGTCAGGTACACTGTCAGTCTCTCTATTCTTTTCGGAGCAGAGACTTTCGAAGCAATGCCACACGCTGGTATTCCAAGGGGGTAGCGGTATTGTGTACCCCTGGAGTTTTATCCCCTAAGCAAAACTGACGTCACAGCCTAGAGGGTAAAATTCCGACTGCGAACTTTTGAGTTGCACAACCTAGGTTGAATAAACGGAATGTTAAATTAAACGCGTCTTTCACGGTTATAAGTTTAATCAGAACAAATTAAATTAGGCCTATAAAACTAATCTGTTTTAACTATCTAACTATCTAAAACTAATCAAGGTATCCCTCTTGATACCTAGATTGTACGGGTCGGAATTTCGTGAATTAAGCTCGAATGTAAGGCCCGGGTTTTTATCCTCAGGGCCCCCTGTCCGGACTCCTGATACTGTATACTGTATATGTGTTTTTATACAAATGCGTTTAATCAGTTAACTATTATTTACCGCTGTTTATATCAAATGTTGTAGGCGAATTAAATCTGTAAACAAAATATCAAAATAATTCAAAACCTGTTCAAATTTAAGTATCCTACTGTTTCCATGAAAAACGTTACTAAAACAATAATCGTCATATCACGTTGATAATTCGAGGGCAAAGCCTACAGTAGGTTGATACAGCAAAGGCTGTGGAATCTTACTCAATACAATCAATTACACAAATACACAATCTAGAACAAATAAATCAAAACTAACACATAGTTTTCCTGCTAAATATGGAATTTGATTTATTTTGATAACCTGCCTGAAATTGTTAAGTAAGCATTTGATAGTTAGTTCTGCTCGTTTACATACAAATGTCTTATTTTCATTTTATTTTATTTAAACATTCGTATTACTTTAAAAAATAATTACTCACGCCAATTTCCATATCTGGTCTGTAGGTAAAATTCCGGACCGTGTACATCTTGAGTTGCATAAACTCTAGTTATACGGATAGGGTGTAAAATTCTGTCTTTTATTTGCTAATTTAATCTACCACGCTCTGTATATTTTATTAGACTTCCAAATCCACGGGGAAATATTCCACCCGCGAACAAACTTGAGAGTGCTCAGGTCATAGTGACGTCAGCTCTGTTCAGTGGATAAAATTCCGGCGACCCACTTCAAGCACCAGTATCCCTGCTACCAATTTTGTTTATACAAGTTATTATACGAGTACGTTCGCTTGGATACATAATTTACTTATCTTATAATGTATACGAGTATACACTCTTCCTTCTCAGTATTTTCTCTGTACTTCTTTCCTGGGGGCCTTGGTTAAATTTTCACCAGCCACTAATGAAATTCAGCTAGGTCGTGATGCCGTGCCCACCTATTTTAAATGTTAAACCTCATGTTGATGGGCAAAAGATAGTTCTACAAGACCAATTCTTTTTATTGCAGAACCCATTTTCATTTTCGAATACCGAGTGATGAAAACTTGTTATAGATAATAATGTTTTGAACAAAGAGAAACTAATATAAACTTTTTTTCAGGTGAAGCTATGAACCAGTTTCTGAACCAGAATTCCGACGTCATCATAGAAGAGATGAAACCAGCTGCAGCCCAAGCCATCAGCAGGCACTTCAAGAACTTCCTTAATGCAGCCTTTCTCCAAATCCCGCTCAAAGTTTGGTTGAAAGACGGATAGCCATTCGGTCCGTCAAGTTGGATCTTGAGACCGTGTACCCCCAAAGATAACTGAAGTGAAGTCCTGTATGACTGCCTTAAGTAATTAAGTAACTGATTCTAAATTTATCCAATCTGATTTGTATTTGGTTTTTGACCATGTGATACATACCATCTAAATACACGCACACGTTCTAATAAGTTAGTATGTGTTTAGGCACTTAGCAAATACTTTTTATTTATTTCACTCTTCGATACTTCATTTTTGATTAGTGCAGTATAATAAGTTTTTTTAATAATGTTTTTACATTTTTACTAGACTTCCCACCTATATGGACCAGCTGTAGTTAAATTAAAAAAGAACGTAGTTGAGTGAGCTTGTGAATGCGCTAGTGTCTAAAATTCTATTTTATACCTCATCTTTTGTTGCTGTCCAGGTTAATGGGTCATGACAGTTGCTATCTATAACTCATCATAAGTCATTCCCTAAGTTAGACTTGGCAAAAAAGTTTGTGTATTTGACAGAATTTAGTGATTTAGATCAGCGCAATCTGTAGGTGGCTCACATCAACTACGACGATTTTGATAAAAAATCTTGCTACAATTCATGGGGATGAAATGTCTAGTTTTATTAATACTAATGATGTCATTTAAATGTTTTCGTATTAAGGCAAACATTTTCCATTACACAAAGTAAGCTGGTTACGTATTTTTTTGGGTAACCACTGAATTAAGATTAGGCTACCTTCTTTAACTGCACAATGGGTTTTGCATTTTAGTCATGACAATAAATTATCTTCTCGTGCTATTATCTGCAACTCTATTGAATATTTTGAAAACTTTTATTCATGAATGTTAATGTGATATGATGTGGTTTTCTGTCATTGTAATAAGAATACGCGTATAATAGTCTGTTAATATAATTTTTTATGAGTCACTTTTTTTAAGAAGGATGGAAAATAAATGTAACTTTTTAATATCGAATTTCAGAATGTGAATCGTGTGAATGAACAAATATGTTTCAACTGTTATTTAATTGGTTTTGATACAACTTTTAACAGTTTCAATTTAAGTTTTTTTTTTTTACAATTGCATTTAGCTTTATTAATAAGTTATTTATTAGCTGTAACATGTATGTATACAGATTATTAGTATAAATTAAATCCAGTTCGATTAGTACCTTATCCAGTTTTTAGTATCAGAACATCATAATGATCTCAACCTCATATTCATATCAATAGTTCTCATCTCAAAATATAAAATATGAAGAACAATTGGCTTTGATAAATAATATGTAGTTTCAACTATTAGTTATCTTTAGAGAAATAACATTGGTTGTTACTTAATAATGTTACTTTACCATATTTTTAAAGTTTTACCTTGTACTGCCAGTATCATTTTACCAAGTATTACCATTGACAAAGTGTCTGTTTCGATGTTGAACGAATGATGTTAGCTTTGTTATCGTCTGATAGAACATTATACAAATAAGATTAGTTTTTAATTACTTTTAAGATAAGAAATAGTTAATTCTAGTTAATTCATAAGTTTTCATTGTGATTTTAATTTTTAATCTACATAATGTTTGTAAATATTTAAATAAAGGCTTTTAGTAATAACCTTGGATTTTCAATGTAAAATATAAGTACTAAATCAATGGAAATGTGGGTGGTGTAAACTGTAAATTACTGTAATTGTGGTACAGTAATTTGAATATCGTACCATTTGAAAAATTAATACTTTTTCCTCATACACTTCAGTAAAAACAGCCGTGTTTAATGCATGTATTGCAGGTCTAAATTAGCTTATTATTAACTCTACAGAGTAAAAATAGTTTTTAGTCCCTATGGAGTAAAAATCAGCTGTTGTCAACTCAGTTGTAAATTTCGATGACAATCGTATCGATCGGAATTATTTATCAGGTATTGATTTATTTTTTTAGGTGTTAGCCTATTGTTGTAGATTTCTCGACACATCGATGGTATAATGTACTGTAACACAATCTTAATAGGTAAAATGATTGAATACCTTACTAAACAGCTGCTTATTTGCATTAGCAGAATTGAAAACAAGCTGGAAGTCGTTTTCAGAGGTTATCTTTACTTGAAAATTCTTCGTTCCCTAGCTTAGTTTGTTAATTAATGATGCAATATGAGGAAAAATAAAGTTCACCAAACGGGTAAAAAGTGTCTTTTTAGGCCCTAGTAATGGAATATACTATTTTAGTTTTGTAACATATTTCGTTCAAATAATGGGGCAATATGACGACAAACCCAAAGTGTCTTTTCAACATTCGCTCATATTTTAACCTCAGCTTCGCCTCGATCGTAAAACTTGAGCTTGGGTCGAAAAGAGTCACTTAAGAGTCACTAACATAGTGTTGGGATCTATTAAAGAAAAAAGTAAAATAATAATAAAACCCTACATATATTTCTTCTCTCTCACATTATTGACATTATCTCACATTATTACCTAGGCAATTCCTTTATACGTGTACTAAAAATCACAGAAATAATTACTACAACAACCTTAGAATGTAACATTAATTAAGATCGCAACTCCACCGTCAAAACAATCGTCCACAAAACTTACACCTATCCTCCCCATACACCCCCCAACCTTTATGCAACATCCATTGTCATACGACAGAAGTTTCCACGTCGGGAAAACACGTGTATCTAGGCGAGGAGCCGAGGTCAAAGGTCACGGATTGGAGATAAGGGCAGTCCGTAGTCATTCTGATACCGCAGTGGCCACAGTGGTGCTTCGGAGTAAAGATTTGTACATAGTGTAAATATAGTGAAATGTTACCAGTAAAGAGGTTCTCCAAAAGACAGATTTGCACCCTCATCGTGTTCAGTATAGCGGACTTCTGCAATGCAATATGTGTTTCCCTGCAGGCACCGTTTTATCCTCAAGAGGTAAGATAGATGTAGAATCTTATGTGTTTCGATTTGTGTTTTGAGGTCTTATAGTCATAGAATTTTCCATACAGCATGGATTTTTTGAGTAAAGATCGCGTTAATGTCCATGGGTCCAGGTTAGTTTAGGGTGAGACCTTCTGGTCACGAGGCTTGGGTTATAATCTTGCCAAACACCAGTGTTGTTAGCAAAGTATTGGATTGTACAAGAAGATTTCTCATCCTAGTATCAAGCCTAAAGCCTGTTTTTTTTATGTTTCATGCCCAATTACACTTTAATGCAATGATTTTGACTAAATCATTCTCTAATGTTTTAGGGTACATTTTACAGTCTTCTCTTTGATCTTTAGACAAAATACAAAAAGATGCTCATTTTTTTCAAAAGTACTTATAATGTAATTTGAAAGTGGGTAAGAAACCAACAAAGAGCAAAGAACAAAATGTTCTCTATGAAAACCGGACAAATTTAACTCAAAAACTGCCCTCAATTGTTCCGTGAGGACAATAAGTTTACTGTAGAGTAATGCTAATCCGTAGTTCTATTAATGACAGAACATTTCATGTGTTATACACTATACTGTGATAATATGTTTTCATAGTTTGTTTAAGGGCTAAGCTAGCTGTTAGAGCGCAGGTCTTAGACTTTCCTAGATGTTCGTATTGAGGTTTCGCCTAGCAAGAGTTTTATTATTGAATTATGATAGAACAAGGATATTTCGGATATTTACCCTATTTTAAAATCTAAAGCCTTTTTAGCGTATTTTTTATGATCACCAACTTCTGTATGCAGTAATGTCAGCTATTTCTTTCCACGCGAGGGGATCTTTTACAGTTTGCTATTAACTCATAATCTTTTTCTCAATACCTAAAGAGAAGATACAGTTTATGGATAGGAAGTGATAGGAACTAGTTTTTAATTTGGTGAAACTAGCAAAAACTGATGGGAAACTTTTAGATATACATTAATTATTGGACAGAAACATACATATGTTTTGGCTAATTTATATTAAGAAATATATGAGGAGAAATCTTTTATCTGCTATTTTAGCTGTCAAATAATGTTGTGTAACAGTTGTTTCAAGCATATCATTAAAGCCTTAAGTCTGTTATTTAAAAACAAATATGATGGTATTAACAAAAACGAATCATCAACAAATATTAAAAGTAACTAAATAAATCAACAGTCTATGTTACACGTAAAATGGTTGGACAATACGTAGCAGCCGTAGTGTTTATATTTTAACCAGCATAGTATTCATATCGTAACTTACTAATTAAAGTGTATTAGATTACTACAAACCAAATGGTGAAAAACTGTGATAAAACTAAACAAAAGCCGCTTGAAGTCTGACACAATAGCCTACATTGCATTACTAAATACGTACAAAACTAGGTTTGCCTTCAAGTGTATAGGCTGTCAAATTTGAACAGCAAACGTATGGTAAATAATAAGCAGGCCTAAAAGTGATGGCAATTAAACATGTAATAGGTATAGTAGAGTCTACAATCAAATCAAATTTCGGACGATCCTGAGAAAAGTAAGTAGCTTTTTGACGGTTCGGAACGTTCTGAACTCGGTCCAGCTCAAGATGCATGGAGTAAAAGCTTTTACTCCATACATCTTGGGTCCAGCTGTTCCTGATCATTGGGCTTTAAATAAATGATCCTGGATAATAAAACAGCTGATCTTGGTCAGTAACAAAGCTACAAAGATTCAACTACACTATCCATTCTAAAATCATCCTTCACTCATATTTGGGTTGAAATACGCACCTAGACGGCGTACCCATCTTAATTGACTGATTGATAAAATATATCAAAGTTGTGTTTGTTTAATTTCGATTAGCCAACATATGTTAATTGCTGTTTTGTGTAGTATGTGTTTCCATGAAACTGAAACTGTTTGGTCAAACCATATTAAATGCTAACAAAGAAACATATTACACATTAATCATACCAAACTCAATTCTTCTTCATATTAATTTCACACATTTAATGATATTAATTGTATATTAGAGTCCCAAATTTGATATTTTAATAATAAAATAAAAGTAGGAACCGCTATCTATAAACAAACGTAACATGCAATTTGGTACGACCAAATGGCAATCGGGGTTTTCATGCTATGTCATGAAATATAAATATTAAACATATATTTTAATATTTGTCAAAACTTGCGACACAAATGTGTTATTAAGAATAACTCAAATTACTAGACTGGTATAGCGTAAAGTCAATTAAATAGCGAACGACAAATGTAACGTCATTTTACAAATAAAAATATACTACGCTATTTAGCTATGATTTTTCTTCCTCTTTTACAGGCGGAGAAAAAAGGTGCAACAGCTGCGGAGTATGGACTTGTGTTCGGTGTCTTCGAGCTAGTAGTCTTCATAGTTAGTCCTCTATATGGCCACTATGTGAGTACGAATCTAGTAAACTATGCATAAAATAAATTTAAAACAAGCATGCAATTGAGGTGTTGTTTATATTGATGTGTTTTGGGTACAAAACATAGTTATTTTTCACATAACATAAAAAAGTTTTATAATAAGCCTGCCATTTTTGAACTCATCGCTAGAATACCACTGCATCCCTGTTAAGATCTCATAGTGCAGTTGACAAAATCGAAATTATTAAATATAAATACTGGATTAATATTGACCATCTGGCATAGAGAATGTTTGTGAGGTTACTTTGGTAAACCATTAGTTAATGCAGGTAATCTTCTTTCTTATGTAATTGTTTATTTTTTCCCTTTAGATTAACTTAAGAATATACCTAATTTAAGTGACTGTTTTTTTTTTTTTTGGTTGAGTGAAAATAGTCTAGAATTTTTTTCCTTACTCTGAATATTATATACTTTTACATATTATCTCCTCTGGCTTAAATCTTAACCCAACTAACACTGTATCTCGGACAAGAATATTATAGTGTTAAATTTTTAAATATTTTAATTAATATTCTATGCAGTATTTTCTTTCTTAAAATTCGAATAATCTTTAAGCTTTTTTTGTAATTTCCAAATTGTTTACAATGCACATTTCTACATAGTATTTCAATGTGTATATGTTTATAACACAATTATTATAATATTAAAAAAGGTGACTAGGGTTTAGAATTTTTCATTAGAAGAATTTAGAGATACCTGTTATTTACTTGAAAAAATACTTTAGATACGTCAGACTGTGGTACCCTGTTTTGTCTGCATCTTGTAGAGCTATGTATAACTGGTTAGTAAGTACATAACAGTAACGGAATTAGTTGTTAGATTTTACAATACTTTTTGTAAAAGATATTCTTTAAATAGAGGTAGTTCTAATCGAAGCTTTCTCCTAAAACGTTTCTCTTTTCCAGTTACATAGGTTTGGCCCAAAGTTGATGTTCAACGGTGGGATATTCACTACTGGAACATGCGCCATACTGTTCGGGTAAGTTATAATATTTGGACGGAAGCTTAAGTTAGTTTTAAGTTATTACGATGATGAGTAACATTTTATTGTTTTATTCGTCCTATACACTACTGATCGTTTCAAAATCGTTAGAAAGATTTTAATGAGGTGTTTGTTATCGGAATGTTGTAATTTATTAAAATAAAACTACGACATTTAATTTCTTCTCCATAAGAATAACATACAAATTGTTTCACTTTTTTCCATTTTCTCCGTAACCGTTAGGCATACAATAACGCTTCAAAATACTAAATTATTTATTTTTAAGCACTTCATAAAGGTAAGAAGTAAATTTCAAAATTTCATGATTTTAGGGTAAAAATGGGAAAACCCAATTTTTACCCCATAAAACTACCTCCTTTCACAAGGTCCAATCATGCTGGTTCACGAACTCGTGCGAATACATGTAGATTTACACGTGTATTCTGAATTTCATCAAAATCAGATTATTTTTGCTTGAGTTATCTTACTAACGGACACATATATTTATACATAAATTTGAATCAATAATGTTTTAAGCCTCTGGGAAAAACGTTAATAGGTCCCGGGTCCAGGTCTTACCATAAGACCTACAGTAATAGCTTATTCTCTATATGGGAAATTGGATAAAAGCGAAACGTTTTATCCGATAGAGAGTTAAAACCATATTACGGGTACGATCTGAAAACTAAATGTATTTAAATAGGATCCATATAAATATTTAAATAAGATAGATATTTAAATAAGATAGATATTTAAATAAGATTACTAATGGAGTAGGTTTAATCTATTGTTTAACTTCAGCAGCCACATATGATTAAATTCGATTGTAACATGAATGGTAATTTTATCATCAAAATTAATCATATGTGACTGCTGAAGTTAGATTAAACATACTCCCTTAGTCATCCTTATGGATCATCTGAAGACAATTTTATTGTTAGTTCCGTCCAGTGCCGCTGAGCGCTGAGGTCGTGTTTTTGTTTACAATTTGTTTAGTGTAATTTCGGTTATTTGAAACCTCATTTAGTCAAATAAAATAATTTAACCATAAACAATAACTCGTCCACTAGTTATATAACCAAACAGTAAAGCAATAATCAACCCAAAAAATTATAGAAACCAAATTTCAACAGCACTAGCGCCCAGTGCCACCAACATGAAATAACACGAAAAACGAGATTCATATTTTACAAAGGAATGTGAAATCTCCTTAGTTTAAGGTTAATCTAAAGGAGCTCTTCTTCATATACAACATTATCTTTACTACCACCAAGAGCTAGAGTTGCTAATCCTTAGACCTACTTCTCCGGAACAACCTTCATAATATTTTTGGCCAGATTACTATCCTTGCTACATCTCCTTTCACTTGGGATCACATGCTTAAAACTAATTTAACCTAATTTGCCTGTATAACAGTCGGTACTCCCATTGAAAAATGAGTTAAATTAACTGCTTCTATGCCAATTATCAAGTCCTTACAGTTGTAGTGTTTGAGATAGTGAGTGAGTGAGTGAGTGAGTCGTAGGCATATTTGCCTGTTGTAAATATAGATTAACAACAGTTATTTTCAATGAATAATGCTTTTGTTCAGATTTTTGCAGTTATTTACAGTTTGATATAGATTGTAATGAAAATATTGGTGAAAAAGACCAAAACAATCGATATTTAAAGCGTCGTCTACAATCCCATAACCGACCTCTGGTCCAGTTATCACAAGTTTGGTTGTTTTCAAGTGTTTGTTCGATAACATCCGGGTACAGTCTTTCTTCTAGACAAATCTTTGATAAACTACTATTTATGTTGGGGTTATCTACTAACGTTTAGAACACCTTGTGCAGCACGTCGGCTGCTTAACTGTTATAAATTAAGTGTGAGTTTCTATTGCAAAAATATTTTAAATATGCTATATGATTTTAGCTTTGAGGTAGACTGTGGAAATTACAGACACAATACTTAATCAGGATTTGTAAAAATGATTTTAAGCTTGTCCAGTTCAAGAAGTTTTTTATTTACTCTTCAGCGAGTATTTACTATTACGATTTACTTAAGTTGTAGGATCCAAAGTCTCAAACTCTCTTAATGTATTTCTGAAACTGCCATAAAACTCATTATATTTATTTTAGAACAATAGCAGTAAAATAGGTTATTTGTAAACAAAATTTTGTCATAATGGTTACAAAATGTCTAAACTCAGAAAATCTTCTGTTCTTAGACAATTCGAATATGTAAATTGTCTAGTAGTTTGAGTTCGTAAGGGCTTCTAATAACCCTATGTATATAGTTTCATTTTATTTTTATTAAATTTCATTCGTTCAAACATTTTTGTACTCACAGTACTAAATTTACCCGATCATTTTATTGATAACCCCCATATGAATGCATTGGATGGTACAGAGAGAAAAATTACATCACAATAATAAATGAAATCCATGGAATAAAACCCAGCAATCTACCTTAAAGAATAAAACCAAGCGTTGTAAGATAAAATAAAGTTTTCCCGATTAGGTATCACATACTCGTAAGTATTAATAATTATAATTTACTATAAAAGCTATAATACATGACTGGTCTTAGAGTGCAACTACAATAAATTACTGCTCTGTAAACTAGAGTATTTTAAACATTTATAGAAAGCAAAAACTTATTAAATAAGAGTTTTAAGTACCCGTGATTAGAGAAGTAGAGCAATGATAAGAAAGCAAAATAACAATGTAGTTCAAGTGAACAGAAGTTAATAGTGATTATCATGATTTACAAATTTATGGACCATGCTTCTTACCAATAAGCTATAATTTGCAATTTATTATCAGATATCACGAGAAGATACTGCTTTGTGGGAAAATGTTAATATAAATTTCTGATTATTGTACTTCAAATCAAATGGTTCCAATCGAGATTCGCTCCAATTCAAAGCGAAAAACCAGGGCACGTTGAAGTAGCGTCGCATTCATTATATAACAAAAATAAATAAAAACACTGCTTTTTCGGTCTGTACCTTATCGTCAACCTAAGGGCAGGGTTCAAGTTCAAAGTTGAGATAGTACTAAGATAGGGTTTTGACCGATGGCTATTTGCCGTCGATTCTTGTAATTAAATAGTGTACTTGTTGCCTAAAATGATATCCAAAATGTAGCACAGACTTGAAGCTTAATATGACTATTTTGTTTATTTATTTGCGGAAACAACAATGACATCTCATTTGACAAATTCGTGGAACAACAACAATAATAAACATGACAAGGACTACAAACACTCAAACAATTAAATATTTCAATATCTGTCTTGGATTGCATGGCCATACGAAAACAGTGGATAAGATCAATTTTCACAACACAAAAAAAAACTTGTTTGAAACAAGTGATTGTTTGTTAAACATTATAAGTAATAACAACACATTTCAGAATAAAATGTGTACATTATAGTACGATAAAGGAACTATTATATATGCGAAGTGTATGTTTTCATGGATATTATTGGCCAACAATATGATTTAAAATAAAATATCAAATGAATACAACCATCTATCACAAAGCCCCTGCCATACACCATCATAAACATTAAATAATTAAATATGTATTTTTATCTCTGGATCATCTATATGGCTATGTACGTTGTAGCTATAGTTTGAACGGCTGTAAAATAACAGTCAAAACATTGTGTCGAATCGTAAATTTATATAGTATAGTAAGAAAGAATAACGAATGCTGCTACACATTATAGTGATAAATATGAACAAATAATTAAATATTATGATGCCTAAGACGAATAAGTAAATCAATATTTGTTATTGCCATAAAAGGAGTAGTGTTCATAATTTTGTAATTCAAACTTGTGGACGATTTCGAATACACCAAACTTAGACTTTTAAAAGTGCCTGCTCACACAAAACAAACTATAAAACCTTTATAGTTTGGCATAGAATTTAATAAATTGTTGAGTTGTTTCGTTAGCCTGGTGGTTAGCGTCTTGGTGCAAGAGGGGTGGGTTCAATACGCGGCATATCCACAAGAACCATTAGAGTTTAGAAAACTTTCATTGGAGAGCGTTCGGGATCCTTAAAATTAATGCCACTTTTTAGATACTAACGAAAAAAGTGTTATTTATAATTCATTACTAATTTGTCAACGTTATGTCTAGGATGCTAGACCGGGTTGAGGGCCACTACCCCTTCATCGTGCTGTCTTTCGTCATCAGGATAGTAGAGGCTATGGGCAACGCCGCCTTCCTGACTGCATCTTTCGCCATCATCGCCATGGAGTTCCCAGACAACGTCGCCACTACTTTTGTAAGTTAATACATATTCATTGCTAGATCTTTTATAACCATGCTTGGTCATTTATAACCATTAGTTAAACTTTAACCTCGTTTTCATAAAAAAAAAAACTAAAAATCTGTTCCACTTTTCAGGCTTCTCTAGAAACATTCTTCGGCTTGGGTCTTATCGTCGGGCCTACAGTTGGAGGTGCTTTATACCAGGTATGTTTTTACTTACAAACTCTTAGGTAGTTTCCAATGAACCAATCATCATCACGGATGCCTTTGGGTGAGGTATTTCCTTCCAGGATTCCTGGGTTTAGTTACTGTAACACCATGATCGATGGGGTTTTAGGTAAGACAAAATACTACACAAAGTGTTTGTTGCCTACCCTGATCTGTGTACCAATCAGGTGAGGAAAACCTGTAGGTATTCTAAGTAAAGAAAGTTGTTTCTGTGTTTAAAATGTTTACCGCAAGAAAACCCATATGAACATGATATGACCGAATTCTTTACAACGTCGCACTTAGACGTCTGTGGCTCAGATACGGACCGTGGGTAAATCATCCATAGGGTTAGCCATGCCATAATGCCATGTTTCGGTGGCTCGAAACCCATGGCTGTATGTCTACTTATCAAATAGCCTTACACACACACACCCACGAAGATAAGGGGACAACGTTATGAAAAATAAGCGGCTAGAACATTAGGATATTCTTTTAGGACAACTGAAACATATTATATGTGGATTCCGTATATTTTGAGTATGGCATTTTATAATATTTGTTCTGTTTTGGCAGCTGGGAGGATATGAACTCCCTTTCCTTGTTCTCGGCAGCTGTCTGTTCATGTCTGCTGTGATCACCTTCTGTGTGTTGCCGGACCACGGGGACCGAGAGGTTGAACCTCATTCTGGAGGTAACCCTAAAGTGTATCATCATTAGTGTGCTTGTGTAAATGTCGTTTGCTAATATTGGAATCTGAACTAACAGTGTGTGCTCTAACCTAACACAAAAGTCAGTTGGATAAGTAAGGGGGAGAAAACATTGGTTATACGCTTAGGACTTGGGTACAAGATAAGCTTAAAATCTTTGTACAATATCTTGTTGCAAAGAACAATAGAATGTGTATGTAAGCTATATCTATTTATCTCTTAAGAGTCAGAAGTCTTTGGATAATTTGAACGAATATTCAACTAAGAATTTATTTTTATTATACCAGATTTATTCGTTGAGTACGATGGTGTAAAAGGTAGATTCGAAACTGAAGTTGCGAAAAAGCCGAGCCGCCCGGACTGATTTTCTACACCCGGGCTGCCAGGGCTGATTTTCTACATTCCCGGTAGGGACGGGTTGACCACAACGGCCCGGGCCATGTCGCCAACCCATGTCAGCCCCGTGCGACTTGTATAGCCCTGTCCCATCGGCCTCCTTGGGGAACCCTTCCTTTCCGGGCCGACGCTTTTGACCCGGGTCGATTTTCGCCCCAGGCCGCCCGGGCTCGCTTACAGTGCCCGGACACAGCCCGGCTGTTATTGAACCCATACTTACATTGGGTTATTGTACCTACTAAGAACAACATATTTTTTTCTGGCAGTAGCCTTGAATCTTAACTCTTATCTCTTTCTCATCCTATATCAATGAGGGAAATTGGAGGGATAAATATTTCGAAAAGTTCCCTCGCTACCTGGCAGAACCCGCGTGGTGGTTCAATTGTTTTGCAACCCTACGAAACTGAACCTTATAATCCGCTCTAATGATCGTGGCGGTTCAAGTATCTCGGGACGGCAATAAAAATCGTGGCGGTTCAATTACAGCTTGCCAGGTATGTAAGAGGTATTGACGTGTGTTTTATTTATTTATTTACTACCCTCTTAGTCCCTAATGACATTATTAGTTTTTTAACCGATATTATATCATATTAACTGACAAACTCTGTTTTAGCCAGTCTGCTAGAAGTCCTCCGTATTCCTGGCGTGTTCCTGGCCGCCTGTAGCATCATTGTCACCTCCATGAGTATTGGATTCTTGACAGCAACCCTAGAACCTCACCTCAGACAGGTATTATTTCTCTAAGCTCACTTTATAATCTTTGGCAATGATTAGAAGAACATTCTATAGTCGTTCTATTCCCATTTTAAACCTGTGGTCAGTTTGATAATACAATTAATTGGTTTTGTTAAACTTGACATTCGAGGATTGCTGATAATCATTGATTGTTTCGTACTCAGCCACCAATCTTAAGTGATAATCTTTGAATACTACGATAAAAATTGTTTTTAATATACTTTTTCTATAGCAGGTTCATTTAGATCATTAATCTACCCTACATCCAAAAGCCAATGGTATTATTGTTAAATTACCATAGCCATCAAGATGGAGTGTTTAATGTCTTCTAAGAAAAATGATTACCTAAACTGTAAACACATTCGTTAATCGTAAAATGAATATATTTTAGTATAAACTCAATGAGTAAATAGATATCAGTGCAATTATTCCATAGCAAATTTTGGAACAAAACATATTGTCCCTACTGCTCTACTTACTATATACCATGCCTGTAATAAACTTATGATCTTTTAATTGTTCAATAATTCTTGAGCAATAGACTATTTCTGTGTCATATTTATCTACAAACTATGAAAACCACAACCATTGTTTACATTGCATTAGCTTTATGATTAATCTTTTTTGATAATACAGCTAATAATTAATTATTATCTTGATATCTTTATGTGTCTTTGGTATCCTGGAACATTACTGAACCTAAAACGTCTAAGATAATTTTACATACATGATTTCCTCTCATAAACTCCTTGTTACTCAGTTCGAACTGAAGCCGATGGTTCTGGGGGTGATGTTCGTCATCAACGGAGGCACCTACGCCGTCACCGCCCCCTTCTTCGGCTGGCTTGTTGATAAGAAAGTCAAGGCCAAGTTCATCGCCCTGTTTGGCTGTGCTCTTCTTATCATCAGCTTCCAAATGATTGGTCCAGCGCCTTATTTCTCTGCCCCACCCCCGGGATCAAGCAAGTATGTTGATATATAACTAACTAATATAAAGTACCTCTATTTTATACGCCTAGTCTTTATATAAGCTAATTTATACAGTATAAGTCTGGTCCCTAATGGTAAATTTGATGAGGATTCTGTTTTCCCAATAGAATTCATCCACATCTTTTGAAAAATACATTAAAATGTTATACTATTAATTGTAGTATACTTACTAACCTGTTAGGGTAAATAGGCTTGATGCAGTAGTTCTTTTGTTTAAATTTTCGATTGAGAACTAACTTAGCATTTTTTTTATGGCATTGTTTGACACGTGTCCACCCCTATGGTAACAGAAGTATGTTAAAATCGTACTAAAATAGTTATTTATTTACCACAAACCTACGTGGAATTTTAAACTTTATGAATGTAGCTCTGCTGTGTCCCTCAGTTTGGCTAGTATTTATTTATTTATTTTGATTAATTACAGTAATGTTTGTACCTTTTTGTTGGAACAAACATTACTATAATTGTTCGAACTATCAATATTCCGAGCAATATCTCACATATGTACTTCTCATTTGAAATACTGTACCAATGTTCTCAACGTTAAAAGATTTATCTAATTCCAGTGAGGACTACCAGGAATTCCAGGGAGGTGAGTGTTAGTAATAGTAATCAAAAATGATATTATCTGTACCGGTCCGTAAGACACGTTTAAAATACTAATCGTGTTGTGTGTGCGCAAAATAGCTCTAAAGCGGGAATTTATCATTCCTGCTCCTGCTCACTAATCAGCTGTTTTTCACAGTTGTCATTGCTGCTCTTGAAATGTAGCTCAGCTAGAGCTTCTACAGTTCTCGAGCGGTAATGACGTACTTTGTGCTCTTAATACACAAATAGCTATTTCCATTCAGTATTTTTCATTTGCTTCCCATGTGTGATACAGGTTGTTGCTGGTAGTGATCGGAGGTTTGCTGATCCATGGTCTAGGCATCGCGGCACAACTCGTTTCATCCTTCTCTGACGCTCTACAAGACGCCATGTATGTTATCTATTTCATCGCCTTATATTGCATTGCTAATATATCCTTTAAGTATAACTTTTGTAAAACTTTATGTGTTTTAGTTATTAGAGATCATAAGCTTAAAAAACCCGTAAATTATTCAAATGATCTATACCATAAAGCATTTCTTTATGTCTCATGGTAGTTGCATATAGTTTTATATGAACTAGAGGTCGTCCAGAGGTCGAAAATTTGACCAAAATGTAATGTACAGGATTCTCTATTTTCACCCCATAAAACACGTGATTGGAATTTCTTCCATTTGTTGTGATTTTCTGTTTATATTTTGATGTTATTTTGTTACCAGATTGGCAACCCATAAAGCCCATGTAATTTTTTTTTAAATATTAATTCATTTTTGTGCCTATTTTAAAGCCTATTTTAGTTTATAAAGGGATTCTGCACACCTACAGGAAAATATTTTTCTAACAGTACAATGTGCGTAGATTTGCCTTGTGATAAACACGAGGTTAGAAACAAGGTTTTAAACAAACATGCTTGCCTTTTAATATATAGATAGCATAAAATTAAAAAAATCTAATCGCTTATTGATTTGTAATATAAAACCTATATAAATACTCTTTGTCGCATTTTTATCAGAAAATAAGGATCCACTGACCTATAGTTGAAAAGATAACAATACCTTCACTCTTGAAGCCGCCTGTTTGTAAAAGGCATAATGAATATCATTTTAAGCCCCAACGAATCGTAGCCATGAGGTTTGCTAGTAAATATAATTATTAAATGATTAAGTCTATAAACCTTTCACTAATACAAAAATAGTGAAATTCAGTATAGTCTTTGACTATTAGTAGACTTCCTATGCCTATGTTTAATCTGTAATCAATTTAAGAGTAAAAACGAATGTTTCACTAAGCAAAAAAAATCCCCAAAATTGTACCCAAACAAAACTGAAATAAATTCTTACTGATTACTGTAACATTAAAGTCAGATCGTAAGTATTATGTTAACAGTTTCACCCTTTCGAAAGGGTGCTATATGAATAATAAATTATTGATGACAGCTGGACCACACAGATGACAGGTCTACTTCAGTATCTAAAACATAGGATATAAATGGATTTTTAGAGTGTTTTTGGCCTCTGGGGACTATAAAATGAAAAATAAAATCGGCTTGGAATATAGGTCTTACTATGAATTGAAGATACAGTAGCTCGATTATTGTACTACACTGAAACGTATGTTTAACAGCAAACGATTCAATTTTGACCATTTTCTCTCTAGAGCGCACGGATTTCCCAACAACCTGGAGACCTACGGACTCATCTCCGGACTCTGGACGTCGACCTTCGCCTTTGGGGCGTTCGTGGGTCCCTCTGTGGCGGGCATCCTCTTCGACACCGTCGGGTTCCGGAACAGCACCTTGTTTATCGTCGTCTGCAGTGGCGTCGTGGTAAGTGTTGCATTCAAAAAGTGTCAAGTCAGAAAATGGATTAACAGCTGCTATAGAAATTTTAAAATTAATTGATATATTATATTCAATAAGCTGTCTATATTAAAATAGGTTTTACTTTTTAAGGTGCACAGTTAGTTATGTAGAACATGGTAGAACATAACATTGTGTAGATATAATAGTTGTGTTACTTTTTTTGGAACATTACATACGACTTATTGTTTCACCATAGTCCAATCAGGGACTCAACCTTGTAGCTTTATCATCTTTATGGATTAGTAGAAAACGGTTTAATTTAAATCAAGGTTCTTTTGAGCGTGATGGTTGATTCTCCAGGAAAGTACGGCATGCTTTCAAAACTTTCTATTTAGTACAATAAATTAGAACGACACAATTTTGTACCCTCACATAATTACAAAAGTTTAAAGATCACCCTGAAATGTGTACTCAGGAGAAACTTAAAGTTTGACACAATGTATTGTTACCGAAATTAAATTCAAACAAACCCAGCATCATTAACCAAAATAGGTTTTGAAATGTGCTGTTAAGAGTTATAAACATAAAGAATTAATTTTTAAAAAAATCCTATACTACAGTCCCTTCAATATTAGTGATGCCGCATTGCTACATATAGGCTTGCTACGAGTCGACACTGTTGTGCAGGCGTCTTAATAATACTGGCTACCATTCACAACTGTTCAATGATACGGTGACTAATATTTTTGGTAACAGATAAAAAAAAATTAAAAAAAAGACACGGAAATGATTGTGCAACAAAGGGTTTGATCTCATACGCGTTTAGGACAACAAATCCTAAATACGAGTAAAATGTGATAAATACAAGTATGTCTTGTATACAATAAAAATTATATCCAACCATTTTGGTGACCAGGCCAAAAATAAGATGGAATCAGAGAAGGTTGGGAGCTTGAAGAGATGGATTTCCCAACCCCTATTAATCACATTTTTCTTACATAGAGAAGTGCCTAACTTCTCTATGCCTCTTACAAGCCGAAGAAGACAAGCCGGGGGTTCTATTCAATTTCTGTAAACAAGGGAGACTGTTGACTGGTTGGCTATGAAATTTGTACAATATTCGAGCACCAACTAAATCTCCATTTCGCAGGGTATGTTCGTCCTGATCTTCCTACTCTGCACCAAGCAAGGATCAATGTATTCGGAGATCAAACCCGATGGCTCCTGCGAGGACATGAAGAAGACCCTAGCGGACTCACAGAACGGCCTGAGTGACCACTACAGCAGCAGCTACGGTCATCTGCCCCTGGGGTCCTCCCAGAGTATCAGCTGTGCGCCGGGCATGAGCGGGTACATCACGGGCAACAGCTACAGAAACAGACTAGGTGAGTCGAATGGTAGGCATTCTAGGAAATAATACTACCGAAAGGTTACAGAATAGAAATAGCTCTCCACCCTGATAGATAAATTATGCAAATTCTTCAGCCTCGATCATTATTAAAAATCAATGTTATGTAAAATCAGATTAACCAAAATTAGTTACATTGCACTGTTTAAGCGAATTTGCCTATAGAGAAGATGCTATGGTCCGAGGCACTAGAAGTAAAAACTGGATGAAAAAACTGCATGAGTTTGCTTGTTTAAGGATTTATTTTGACAAATTTGGCATCTTCTTTAGTTCATCCTATATTATTGACATTTGATTTTAAAAAAAATGGCTTTTCTATAGCAGTGAACCCAATTACTCATTAAACAAAAATGTATTTTAAAAGAGAATAAATTTGAAATTTTAAAGGAAATAGTGTAAATCAATTCAGATAAATTTAAACTCACTTAGTCTGTTGGCTTGCTGCGATGGACGTATTATGTGATATATTGACTTATAATAATGTAAGCAGGAAAGTGCACAAATTCCACTCAAATGTGACTGAAAAGTATATTGTTCTACGGATTTGAAGAAAACCCCCTCCCTGCAAACAATTTTAATGTTCAACATTTTATACATATTTTTTGATACTTTCAAAAGGTCATTATGTTTAAAAAACGTTTCGATGTGTTTATTGTCTCTATAATAGTTGACACAAAGTTCCTCTTCAAGACGAACATTTCAAGTACATGGTTCACAGTAAAGTGACTTGTAGTTTCCTCAAAAGTTCATTGGTACTCTTATATTGAGATTTTTATTAGGCCTACACAGATATTTCGAACGCACTGAGATGTCTAAAAGCTACTAAGTGTGAGCTGTAACCTCCCTAGCCACTGCGCACCATGAGTGTTTAAACATTTGCTCATAGCTTTGTAGAGTATCCCTCTAATTTATTGTGTTTATGCATTTTGGACCATTGTTCGAGAAAAACTTTGATTTTCCTTGTCTCGTAGGTGAGCTACACAGGCGGCAGAGTGACGCGTACCCAGCCTCGTACCAATACAGCTCCAGCTACGGCAGCATCTCTGGGGGTGAGCACCACCGTCGCTACAGCAGCAGGCGCGGCAGCACGGACATGAGGAGCAAGGGAGGCTACCGCAGCGGCTTCGAGTAGCTCCGTCAGCACGGCTGAATTTGTATCTTTACTGATGTATTGCGCAAAACCGATTCTTTTCTTTCAAAGTAGGGTTTAGATCATCCAATCGAAATTGGCCACGGTAAGATCGAATCGGAGTCTCTAGTAGTGTACAGTGGTAAACAATTGTAACACAGCTTTGTCAAGCCATGTTTTGTTTCATCAATCGTGGATGGTAGGAGTGATTTCATAGACTTTTTATTGTAAATTAATTAACCCAACTAAACAGGGTGTCCCGTAACTCTCTGGACATATGTATATAGCATTATTCCTTAGGTCAAGACAAACACATTTCACCATAGGAACATGGGTCTGTGATAACTAGTTTTCCGTCTGTCTGTGTTTATAGGATTTATAAAAAAAACGAATAACTCCTAAACGGTTTGAGATACAGTGGTGATATTTTGCAAACATGTTAATCTTATTAAGACCTATTATCGTTAGAAATTATACAAACAAATTATTAACCGTTTCGGAATGGCGGAAATTTAAAATATTTGATGCCAAATTTCAAGAAAACCGTTTACTTTACAAAAAAATTGCAAGAGACAAAAAAGTTAGGAAATCTTATGTAGTTTTCAATGATACCTTGTTAAGGATGAATAAATAATTACAGAGAAACGAGTTATTTGCGTAATGTATGACCACTTTTCACTATTTAAACAATGCTAATACCCCTTTTAACGCTATATACATATATCCAGAGAGTTACGGGACACCCTGTATAGAACAGATGTATACATCCATCATTTTAATCGAAAACTGTTAAATTATGATGGTATAATTCTTTCTTTTTCCGCTATGCATTGATAGATTATGTACCATAAAAGTTATCGTAGATTACAGTAAGTTTTACTTTCGGCCAGGTCCACATTTTTGACAAAAGTCAGTAAATGTCACCTGTAGACCCTGACGGTGGCTCATTTCATCTATAAAAGTCAACTCGTTCCATTTCCATTCTAGTACTGGTTTCAACTTTAACATCACAATTTTATATCTACTTGTTTCTACTGTCAAAGCTTATATTCACTGAAGATTCATTCAATTCATTCTGGTATATCAGTAATCTAACATTCAGTGGATATCCTAGCGTTGACAAAAACATAACGTTTTAAATTACTATCTCGGAACTATTAGAAAGGGTTAGGATCTTAAAAACCATAGAAATTAGGAGGCTTTTTTAGGTTTTAAACATCATGGGATGAACAATGTTTTAATAAATATATATAGCAATGCCTATCGAGTGAATTTATTATAAAGTGAATTTATTACTTTACCAGTGATCCGGAGGCTAACAACACAATGTTTTAACTAAAGATGGACTAGCTAGACGGTGACTTGTTCTCTAAACTAACATTATTGACAAAGGTCACAGTTTTACTAAATCATCTATAGTAACTGTGTTTCATTGTTTGAATTCATTCAACATTCGTATTTACGAAACGTCAACTAAAAAAGCCTAATACTTCTTTCAACATAGTTATAACTACCTATGCCAAAATTATATCCGACACAAAAAATCAAACAGATTTGCCAAGTTTAGACAAAATCAGTTATATTTTTGCAAATTGACTTGAAAGCTAATAAAAAATACACCACTAAACACTATTTTATTGCGATCTATGTGAACAAATCAAGTAGTGTAAAAAACACATCTTTAACTCAATATGCCCTGAACAAGGTACAGAGGAAAATATTGTACAATTGTAAACCAAATTATGTTAGCGAACAATTAAACTAAGTTAGTGTAAGTAAGAAATTTGTTAACTTATTTAAATTTTTACGAATCTATGATTTTAAACTTTTAACATTCGAATTTATAAGCTTGCCAGTGTCTTGAGATAGAGATTATAGGAACTATTTTTATTAAATAATATTAGTTATTGTGTGATGCTCACTAAAAGTAATATACATTTTAACTAGTTTTTATTACATTGTTATTTGAAATATCCAGTGATATTTTTAACAGTGATATCAATACTGTGATGATATAAGTGTTAGGGAGAATCGGTAGCGAGTTTTATAACCGTATCGGCCCAAAATATAATGCCAGTTGGGTGGGATCGCTGATTAAAACTAGCTAAATTAGTTTTCAATAACAATACCAGAAGTTATGAATCGTATTGTATGTTATTCAGACATTTTTTGGTTCTATAGACAGCTTTTTCTGGCTTTTCCCAAGCAATACTACTATGTATCTACACTTGAAATCATTCGCAAGACGGTAAATATAGTCTATACAAGTTGTTGCAATGGCGATCAAATTTGGTCTGAAAAGATTACTGGAATGATCGAAATCGATCGCCATTGTAACATGTTCCATTATTGCCATATTGTGCAGTGCAAGTAACTGTACCGTTTATAGAAAGTTGCTGTAAGACACGTTTGTATAATAGAGCTTACGAGTAAAAATGCTGGAAAAGAAGTCATTACAAAATTAGGACTCTAAACCGAAACGTAATTTTCTGTATGACTATAAACGCACCAATTGAATTTCTTACCACTTGGAAACGAAACAGTAAATTCTGGATGCAAAATTGATTGCACACATCTTTTTCTTTTTTAACATTATACATGATCGATTTAACCTTCGCTATCTATTCTCCTTGGCCTTAATAATGCCCACCGAATTACTCTTTTAATTTAAGATGCTAGTCATAAAATAGTTTTTGCCATACCGAATTTTAAAATAAATCTAAATTATTTTCTATACATTCCTTCTCTTATGTCAATCTTAGCCACTTCTTAGCCTTATAAAACGTATTCTCCAAGATGCAATTGTTTTACTTCTTTGAAAGCGTATGGATGGATTGTTTTGAGATTACTAAATATTAATTGACTTAAGTTTATATTTATTTTGACTGTATTTTGAATATATGAGCAATAAGTGTTATAAACGCATGTTCTATTGTTGTTTTATAAAAATTTATTTTTAATTGGGTGTGTTTTATTTTGTTTGCCGTAATTTTAAGTATGTAAGTAAACACAACTATAAGCTTAATATTTTCTCACTTTCTCACTCAACAATCTATATATTAATAGGCAATCATGTTTCTTTAAAACCTTTTTTCTCAGCTCGTGTGCATCGCAGGGAAAATATACGCATATTGTTAAAATGCTATAGAATGTTATCTATTTTCCTGTAGATGTGCAGAATCCCTTTATAAACTAAAATAGGCTCAAAATAAGCAAAAAATTTGTTTGAAATTTGAAAAATAACTAACAAGGGCTTATGGGTTTCCATGGTGGTGACGAAATAATAAGAAATGTAAACAGAAAATCAAAACAAATGGAAAAAAATGCAATCACATGTTTTATTTACAGCGTGGTGTGAAAATAGAGAAGTCTGCACTTTACATTATTTTTGGTCGAGTTTTGACCACTGGACGACCTCTAGTACATTTTAATCTATACGTTCATACTTTCCATTTTCATGTGGAAACGTGAAAACTGTCAGGAAATAGGGAAATTCTAGCATGATTTGCCGTCTACAATGATAGTCGTTTAGGCCGATTCGCCTCATCGAGTAGACTAACAAGGGACGAAAGTGACCGGCAAAGCGCCCTTCCGCAAGGACGGAACGGTGGACTTGGGACCAGTGGATTGGTGGAACGGCGGACTGGGAACAAGAGAAATGCGTGAATGTGAAATGAAAGCGTGTATGCCGAAGTGCGTGGGTAGTAGCTAACATGGGAACCAGACATCCAGCACAACCTTGAACTTGTGTGAATCGTGGGAACGTGGAAATGACATTGTTTGTATTCTGAAATCAGATAGAATGAAAGTGAGATTAATAATTAAGTGAGAGTGTAAATTAATTCACGTAAAAGTTGTGAATAGTAATTATGGATATTTATATCAAGTTAAGATTGAAAATTGGTTGTGTAATGAATTGAAAATTAATTCTGGTTAGCCAAGTAGTTATATATAGTATTGATAGTATCGAGTAGTGGTGCAGTATAGTATTGGGGTTTCTTGGTACGATCCTTGTACGATCCCGAGTGAAGCAGATTTTAGACCAAGATGCAAAAATTGTCTTTATGCTACCAATTCTTTTTGCTGCATAACAATGGTCAATTTTTAACTATTTAGAAGACCAGAGTGAAATTAACTCCGATGTATTTTCCCACTTTCAAATGTTTTCATAGTTTAAGAAGATTTTTACCTAATAGGCCTACTATTGCCAAAAAATAGTAAAACCACATAATAGTTCCAGTATTGAACCTCAATCAATTCGGGATTTCCAACAAATTTAATTAATACAAGCCGAAGAAAAGCGATAATTATCATCTGAAATATACATTTGTAAGGTTTTATGAGTCACAGTTTTAGTTATGAGTGGGTGTATGAGCTACACAAGCCAATTAACGAGTTAGATTTATATTTTAACTCCACGAGGTAAATACAGTTTAGGTTGTCATTCTATGTCCATGCCCATTCACAGTTAATATGACGCAAAAATGTTTATGGGGTGATAGATTTACGTATATACAACTTTTTTGTGACATGCCATAAAATTGCGAATACTTATTTGGAACTAAAACTCTTGGGCTAAATTAGGATGGGTCTCTAAAACAAGAACAAGTCTTTTCTATAGGACTTCCTCCGTTATAAGTCACTTGACAGAGAAATTCAAATTCAACCCTAGAAGTAGCATATCGCAGCTTACATAAAAAATCCAAAACTATTATTACTCCAACGCTTGCGTAGTGCCCCCCTTTACAACCACCTCCACGTGAACTAGATCATTGATTTGAAAAAGCGTTGATTATTCATTCAGAGAAAGTAATCAATAGACAGGTGGGGCGCAGGAAACGGTCGAGCGTGCGAGGGGACACAAAAACACCAACTGGGGATGTGTCTGCATCCTGTACCCAGTAGTTACTGTGGCTACAATGCGTGAAAATGTTGTGACAATCGAAAACGTGTGATAGTGATAGCGATTTGTATCTAGACCATAATATTTGAACAATTAAAAGTAAATGATACAATAGTTCTTTTACTTTATCCCTTGGAGAACATTATGGTGAAGCCAGATGCGGTTTTATTCAAATTCAGATATGAGTATCTAAATTAGATTAAAAATAATAAGCTGATCAGAACGCCCAGAACTCGGATAATTAAACAATGCCAAATCAGCTCTCAAAGGCAACCAAATTCTACTTTCTTTGGGTTTTAGTTAGTATAAATTAGATAAAACCATAAAACTTACTCCCTTAGTAATTTTCTCATCCTTATGGAACAGCTGAAGTCAATTTTATCGTTAGTTCTGTCCGGTGCACAGTAGAGGTCGTGTTTTCTTTACAGTTCTTAACTTGTTATTTCAGGCATTTAAAACCTAGTTTAACCAAATAAAACAAACTAATCACAAACAATAACTCGCCCCTCGTTGTATAACCAAACAGTAAAGCACAAATAATGAAATTAACCCAAAAATAATAGAATCAAAATGTTGTCAACAATAGCAAACTGTCACCAACATGAACTAGACACGAAACACGAGGACAATTTACAATGGGATGAAAAGCCTACTTTTGTTGGTTAGTCTATGGTATACATGACCAATATTGTTTGAATTATTGCACATCTTTTGGTAGAGAGAGCCCTTCAATCTCGAAAAGGTTTCCTCGCCTAATTTATAGATTTAGATCTACAGTTTAAGAAGAGCTCCTGACCACACAGCTAAGACCAGTTAGAACTGAGCAGGAATTGAACCCTGCCCTCCAAAACAGTCCCACACTCTCACTTTACCAGCTCCGCTCCACAATTTTGTAAATAATTCAAAGTACTCAAGATTGCAGGGACCAGGTGTTCTTGTATTCATTAACATAACGTAACACTAACACACAGTTCCATAAGTATTGCCTGTCTTGGACCGGTTGCTATGGAGCAGGTTTGTGTGTAACCTATGAATCTGTATCTTCCACGCCTCCACCTACACCCAGGGGCTAACATACTTGTTATCCTTAGCCTAATTCTTCTTAGCCTTTTCAAAGTTTGCCCACAAGCCTAAATTCAATATGTCCAAACTTTTGGTGAAACTTTCTAACGATACTGCTGCTGGAGATCCTCTTAATTATTTTATTTTTGGCAGAACGATGGTGGAAAATGTCACATTATTTTCACTAAATATATAAAAATTCTAATCACAGTTTAGTGGGGACAGATTTTACCGCCACTGTAAGTATAGTTGAATACTGCACTAATTAATTCCCAATATGTTCAAATGTTGTGTTACGATAAAACAAAGCTCAAAACAATTTGACCAAAACACAGAATTAAAACCAGATGTAACCAAGCAATAGCAAATGCAAGAAAATGTCATCTTTTTCTGAGTTATAAGAATACAAAACTTAGTTACATATATATAATTCTCTATGTGGTTTCTCTCCTTTTTGGTTTTTCAGCATTAACTAGGTTTGTGTGATTTTGTTATACTTTAGGTACTTGACAATCGGACCAGATTGCCCAAAATGTCGTAATAACTCGTTTTTAACCAAACTTGATAAACAATTCTCTACAATAATCCTTAAATACCATTGTTGTACTGTTGATCGGTAAAGTAAATGGGTAGCTCAGTAGTTATAGTTCTTGCCAAGTAATTTAGAAAGTGTTCAAGTTTTTAATGGTTTGATACTAGACCCAGCTGTCCTTGGTCATTGGGCTTTTAATAATGGTTCTGACTAATGAAACCGCTAGTCTTAGTAACAAAACATCTCAATCCATTCTACACTCATCCTTCAATCATATTCGGGTTAAAATACGCACTTAGATAAGACTATTAGTGCGGTTGGCTGGTTCACCCCTGGTTCTGCCTCACTCTGACTTGAAGTTTAGTATAACCTCGTTTTGCGTACTTTCTCACCTGATGAGGGTATCAGATTCATCGTGAAACGTCGTAGCATGTTTTTATGTAAAATGTCCAGAAGTCCGAGTTCTGTACGATATTTTTCGAACACAGCTAATCACACCCTCAAAGAAAGCTTATAAGAGTTGTAGGAGTTACATCAACAAAGTTCATATTTTATTTTATTTTTTATTAGATACATTTGTTGATAGGTAATACTGAATCGCATTAAATATACAGTTTATATTCAGCACCCTTTATGATGGTTTTTATATTTTCATTTTCCCACTTTAGCTAGGTTTGCGTAATATGATGGTTATTGTCACTTTCCTCTCCTGAAGACGGCCGAGATATCAAATGCATCCCGTAATCTCGTTAAAACATTTCTTACTAAATGATTGAAAATGACGTCAACAATTCCTTTAGCCATTGTTGTACTCTAACATTTTAAAGTCTTTACCAACATCCCATCACACCCTCAGGAAGGAAACCTATCAGGGGTTACGTCAACAAAGTGACCAGCAGACCATACCAATACACCAGCCCCCACTGGTCACTGGTGGTTGGTGGGAGGGGGGTGGGGGCGTAACCGCTATCCCACTTTGCTCTACAGTGCGTGCTGCTCTTCTCTCCCGGTAGGTCGCGCTGACTCCTTGTAAACATAACCTAACAGTGACAATCGATGTACTTTATTATTTCATCTGTACATCAGTAAACTGGGTTAAGTGACGCCGTGCTTGTGACCTGTCCTAGTTATTGTTTCAGTGTATTTATGATTCGTCTTTGGATAACACGTATGAGTTAGGTGAGTAGATCGTTTGTTTACGTTCAGTTAATTGGTTGAAATTGATTTTATAGCTTTTTGTCATTAATTAGCCTGGTTATAGTATTTGGTATATATATGTATATTACTTCATTATTGATCATAAGACAATTTGTTATTTGTTCATCAAACTACTATTGTTTTCCCTAAGCAGCACAAAACTTTTCTAAACTATATATTGTACCAAATTCAATTAAAACGAATTTGGTACAATATATAGTTTAGAAAAGTTTTGTGCTGCTTAGGGAAAACAATAGTAGTTTGATGAACAAATAACAAATTGTCTTATGATCAATAATGAAGTAATAATATAAATAAAAATGTGCTATGACTGATTAAATGCTATTTAAATAACTAATAAAACCCCTAAAACAGTTTAGTATTAGGTCGCGTTTTGCACCACAACACTAAATAAAAAACAATTACAGATATAGCTTTTTTTAGATTTATATTATTTTGTTTTACACAATCTAACATTTTAAACTTTTGGTATTGTTTCAAGACATTGCACATAATATAGTTTAACAAATATGCATATGATGATTCGGTAGTTATGAATATTCGTATGAATTGGTGTTTTGGAAAATTCACATCATCTTAGTATGGTTAACTCAAGCAATAGTAAACTGAAGAATCGACAATCCTTAGTAAAACTGAGCAGCTGCTTTTATTTCAAACAATTTGTAGAGTAACATCGATTTTATTCTTTTCTATTTCAATTTGACGCCTTACAGTACCTTTGTACGTGGTATAAAATACACAACTCACCTAAATTATTTCATTAGCTTTAAGGTGTATGAAATCATAGATTTTCTGTGTTGAGATACAACAGAATATTCACAAATATTTCAAAATAGCAATTATTAAATTAACGTCCATCTAGATCCGTTGTATCAATTTGAAACCCTAGCACTTGAAATAAACCTCTAAATATGTTATTTTTATTCTAATTAAATCTTAACTAAGTTTAAACAATAATAATTACGAGGAACAGATGTTTTAAAGTACTGTACAATGTTTAATGGTATATAAATGATCAACTTAAAAAGGGTTACAAATTCTTCAGAGGGTGGAGATCCATGTAGACTGTGAATCACAAGATTTCTTTGATGTTTAATATAAAATGAAATAAGTTAAGATGTAGGCCCTACATTGAATAATAATTTGGAAACAATAATTTAATTTAATAAGATTTTGGTTATGATCAATTTTTCTCTCCTTTTGTCTATAGTTTGAGATAATAATAATAAATAGAATTTTTCACCAATTTTCTTCAAATAATTTTCTTCTGAATAATGTAGGCCTAATTCTTTTTTCCAATTAATTTGGATATTTTAACAACACTTTGTTTTATAATTTAAATTATTTCACAATTTATTTATCACAACTAATAGTTTCTGTATGCTCTTCTATGACTGCACTCTCATTGTTCATTGATGTAAATCATTTCTTAAATTATGGGGTTCACATAATTAAAAACATGGTTGAATTTTATTGATAATCTTGAACCCAGATGCATGGTATTTTTATTGTAGGAATTGTTTTGAATAGTAATTTTGATAAGCCATTGAATAAGTTTTGATTATAAATTATATATATGTTGAGACAATATGGTTTTACTAACATTAACAATGAACATGAATAAATATTAAAAATATAACAAGATTTAATTTGAAATTTAATTAGGCCTAATGACTATACAGTATTTATAAACATTAGTTTTTGAGTCATTACACAATTAAAACAACTTTCATAAATGCAAGTTTTTTTTTATATTTTTCATTTTGTCCCAAAATAAAATACTTTTCGATAAGGACCAAACAAGATTTTTTAATTACAACTTAATGCTCCAATAAGATTTTTTTTTCAAATTATAAAATTCAATAATAATATACTGTTTATATATGTCTATAAATAGTTTCTTCTACAACTTTAAACGACGGTATAATACCATTGACTATTGGATTATTGGATACCTACTTTGAGGTTTTTCTGTCAACGACGAGAACCCATGATATTGTTCGCACGCAACTACACACTATAGACACACTTTATTGTTATCGATTGTGATGCGATCCAGATATCGTGATGCTTCCAACATCACGGAAAGGTGAGTCACGCCTTTCTAAAGATAAAGAAGTAAAACATAGTAATAAAAAACGTTAAAAGGTTTACTGGTAACTCTATTTTCATTGCCACTTTGTGGTTGTATCCTACAAAAACCCATAAAACAGTATTTTTCAATTGGATAGAAAAGTTGTATATATGCGTAAACAACAACTACTCGATTCCTATTAAAAGAAATGGTTGCTAAATGCAATCTAATATTGCTATAAATTCAGTACTCTTTGCGTAGTTTAAATATACAAAAATATTTTAAAGTGTTTGTAAAATTCCATTTTATAAATTTAATTTAAGTCTTAAACTTATCCTCACACACACTCTTACTTTAAGAACACAGCTTGGTACGTAAAATATAATGGAAAATATATTTGGATAAACATATTTTCAATTGTGGGTGCACAAACCGGAGTGGAGGCATTTTGTTGGTGACGCCAAAAGCCTTTTTATGCTTCCGAAATAATTTCCAGATCGTTGCCAGACCTAGAGATGTCATATATGAGAGATATTTCATCGGGTAATCAATTAATGATTCTATTTAACAAAAATGTCGACGATAGTAACAAGTTAAGGGTCTGGACCGTCCCCAACAAAATGTTAATACATGCCAATAGCGTGTATGGAATAAAAGTCTAAAACGAAGTCACTACAATAGATATATTTTATCAATAGATATTTTCATAGTTGTCAGCTGATAAGTTTCAATTTGTTAATATCGATATATTGAGAAAAAAATCATCGATAATGATGAATGTTCCCTTTAACAGGAAAGTACCTATATATCTTACGCAATACTTTGCATTATATTCGTAAGATTATAATTGTTTTAAATTCTTTTAAAGATATTGTAATAATTTATATAATCATTTTTATCAACCTCCTTTTATCAATTCTTAAGTTGTACTAACGGTCTCACTAGCTAATTAAAATAACTCCGCTATTATACATGTTAACTTAGGGTACGAATTAATAATAAATATTCATGTAACATGTTGATTTAAACATATTTATATGTATTCGCCTTGCATTTATATTTAGCTAACTCTGAATGCACCATCGTTTAAAAAAATAGGTAACTGATTCACAAGAGTGTAGGAGTTTTGCCAACGGGTATCAGGTAGAAAGGGTCCCCCTCCATGAATTCCACATACTGCGGAGTTTTGCCAACGGTTGTGGGTTGAGCGATAGCGATTACACGTGACCGTGAGAGTGGCTTCCACTAGGGGTGGACAAACCAGGCAGGATGCTGACTGTATTCAAAGTAATGGAGTTATGCACCTCTGACTGTGAAAGGAAATGTATTGCATTTTTAACCTAACCTAACCTAACCTAACCCACTGCGACAAGCGCATAATTGCTAACCGTAGACAACCCTGACAATCGCTCTCCCTCCCTCCGTCACACTCTTTCTCCCACCACCACCGTTGGCAAATCTCCGCTCCAAGAGGTGGCCGAAGGCATCCCCCCATCTACCTGACACCCGTTGGCAAAACTCCGGTTCCCGATTCACAAAATCAATTGACAAATATATCTAATTAATTTATAGGAAAAAAGTTATACTTTAATCTATTTTTATATGCATATAGAATAACAACCAGTTTAATAGACAAAGGAAACTAGTTACAAAACATTAGCCAACCAAGGACAACGATCTTTCTCTATCAGGTTGACATTAAACCTAATCTACATACAATCTTCACCAACGGCGTGGTACACTATCTTAGTTCATTAACCTGTCTTAGATAAGTAGAGCAATCCAGTAAGTCAGTATGTAACACTAACATGCGAACTCATTAACGCAAGCTGTCGATGCGGATAACTTAGTTATTTATTTAATTAAATCTCCACTTTCTAGCATGGTCAATAGAAAATGAATAGCGCTGTTCCCAAACTAATTAACCAAAGATAGTTGGCAAAAAGTTGTGAGATATTCAGGTGTAAAAATAATAACTCAGACTAATTTAACATTAAATACCCCCGCCGCAGCAAACCTGCAGACTAAGCGAATTTCAACTTGTCTGATTACATTTTTACTCAAATATTTCCATAAATAAGACATATCATTTATTCCCTATTTAAATAACATTAAATTTAACAAGTGCTTAGGTTTGCTGCTACGGGGAAGGTAAAAAGTGTTTTTTGACCATACGTGAATAGTATGGGATGAAATAAATAAATTTGCCAAATTTTATCAATATATATCCATAAACAAGTAAACTACAACAATTTTTATTTTCTCCATAAGAATAACATGGGAATTTTAAATTAAACTATTTTTGAATTTTCCCCGTGACCGTTAGGCATACAACAGCGCTTCAATATACTAAATTATTTCTTTTTTTAAGCTCTACAAAACGGTTTAGAAATAAATTGCAAAATTTTTTGTTTTTAGGGTAAAAAATGGGAAAAACACATTTTTACCCCATAAAACCCCCCATAAACCCCTGTTCCCATGGTCCGATTATGCTGGATCGCGAACTCGTTCGAATAAACGTAGGTTTACACGTTTGTACCAAATTTCATCAAAATCGTATCATTTTTGCTCGAGTTATCACGCTAACGGACACATATATATACATATATAAATATATATATATATATATGAATTTGAACGGATGGTGTTTTTGGCCTCTAGGGACCTCAAAATGAAAAAAATCGGTCCCGTGTCCAGGTCTTACCATGAGTGCTACGGTAATAGCTTATTCCCTATATGGGAAATTCGCTAAAAGTAATTTTCTTGTTTACAGGTGTAGTTAGAAAGGTGTACGGCTAAGTTGATAATAATTTCTAGTTCATCGTAATTTTATTTTTTTTACAATATAATTTGTGAAAAAGAGAAAGGATTTTCTCACTTTGAACAT